TGGGATCCCAAGCAGATGGCAGCACCCTACATAACGTTTATCGTTATATTTTGGCCAATTTACACAATATTTTTTATGTTAATTCAGCTTCAGCTTACGTGTTATTCTGGCGTATAAGCTATATTAGTGTAAATTTAAAATTCATTCATAATTTATGCGTGAAAGAGTAACAAACATCCATACATCCTCACAAACATTCACATTTATGATATCCGTAGGAGGAGTAGGATGGAATTTTTAACTGAGTTTATATGTACATCCGGACGTTTTGAATTTTACAAATCGATAAAAATGCAATATTTTAGCGCTTTAATAATAGTTTTCTATTTGTGCTTTATGTAACATTATCGTTTTCATTAACATTGACATTTTTATACTGGTTAAATAAGGTTTAGGCTTATCGTGTACCGTATTTTTGCAAATAAATACTAAGATTTTTATTGAACTCTAATCCTATGGCATAGTTTGTGCTAGTCAAGTGATATCTTTGATATTCAGTGCCACTATCCCCCACAAATTATAAATGTAACTAGTTTATGGTCTTGCCAGATTGTTTTCGACTGTCGATGAAAAAATTGTATTCAATGGTATTTCCAGATATATCTAGGCTGTGTTTAGAGAAGGTAAGAAATCATTATTTTAAAATCTGAAAAAATTTTTAAGGTCCTAAAATTCATAGAATATCAACAGTTGTTTTGTTTACAATAATTTCGCTAAATTAAGATTTTTTTGAAATACTTATCACAGACAAATCGACAGATAAATTATGTAAACTGTTCTTCTAAAAAAAGAAACTCCCACTGAGTTTCTTCTTGGCCAGGTAAGGGATATGTTTCGAACCCGTGGTAGATTGTTTGCCCTCTTCGGTAAATGACGCGATGAGTTTTACTCCCAATTCGCGTGAAACTTCTCTATAAAATCGTCTAAATAAAATGTATATATTGTTTACCACTTATAAAGCCCAGGAAATATTTTTGGCATTCCCGTCGATTGCAACAAAGCTATACTCACTTAAAATGAAGCTTACTAAAAAAACTATTAAGATTTTAACTGTTTATAATTTTTTTTTATAGAATAAGGGTGACAAACGAGCACACAGTACAACATTTGATGGTAAGTGGTTGCTGTGACCCATAGATATCTACATATATCCCCTATTACAAATCAAAATGCAGATACGTTGTCACCCGTAAGGACTAAGATGGAATGTCTCATTTCCAGTAAAAAGGGTCTCCGGTTCTCTACACTCATCATACGAAACACAGTAGCGTTAAGCCGCTATTTTACGCTGGTATTCTGTGAGAGCGTGGTCCTTCCCCGGTTGAGCACACCCATTCGTGCTAAGACTATACTATTAATATAGCTGCAGAATGGCTCTACCACGTAAAAAATTGTTTCATAACTTAAGGCAAACGAGCTATAAGAGTCAGCTCACACCGAGACGTGACGCGACGCAACGTGGCGTGCACTTTATACGAAAGTGAAACAAAATATATTTACTACACTAAAATATAGATATTTTATTGTGATAATTCCAAATCACCACGCGGGGTCGCGCTACGCCGCGCTGTGCCTCGAGATGCATCACGACAATGCGGTGCTTGGTCGGTGAGCGCAGCGTGCAAAAGCGGTGCACTGCCAGCAACTTCACGATGCGCTTCGCGACTTCGCGACGCGACTTGTGGTTCGAAACCACCAACCACACCGCGTCTTGGTGTGAATTGACCCTAACTTCACATAATTCACAATAGTCGCATAAACTAAAATAGATAAATTGTGCGTTTGCTACACTTTGGGCCGAGTGGTGGCAAATTAAGAGAATCTAACACCGAATTTTGTCCCGTGAAAATCGTCAGAGGCTATTGAGGTAAAGGCGAAAAATGTCGCGTGGTTTCGGATAGATCGAATACCATTTCATAAATCTTCGTAAATCCTACATCATAAGAAGTCTGATAAAAGTTGGAATTATTTCACGCATAATATTTGTAATTCTATTTTAAGGTTAAGCATCTACATAAGTTCTGACTTCTCAAATCAATGCCTCCCTAGCTCCCTATGAAGCATGTTGAAAACTGCTTACAGGCTAATGAAATAAGTTTTATCTTATGATATACTTGACGTATAACTTCTTAAGAAATTCGAGGCACTAACAATTTTTAAAGCCCCTGTAGGCATAAAGTTTAAGTTAATTAAGATATAGACAAACAAAAAAAAACACTTTTAAAGTTAAATCAAAAGTTTTATATATTAAGGTCTCATCTCTCTATATATGAAAAAAAACTCTAACACTTGTGCTGAACCTGAAAAAATACAGGCGCCTAGAATGTCGTTTCCATCTGTGCGGAATTTCATAAAGTACGTTAGTTTTACTATAATGATTACAATGAGATAGCCTTCCAGCCAGATTAAGTTTTGACGTGGAAGAGCTACATTATTATTGTATTTTATGCTATGCAGATGTATTATGACTGCAGCATAATTTGAGTCAGCTTGACCAGAGAAGAGTAGATAAGAGTAACATGTAGTGGCGTTGTAAGAATATCCACTACCCCATATCATCCCGTGGGTGTCGTAAGAGGCGACAGAGAGAAATCAATCAGGAGATGGGCAGTTGCGTCTTTGTAATAACGACTAAAAGTTAAAAAAAACTGTAGTTGCCAACCCGCTTGTCAATCGTGGCAACTATGACAAATATATGTGGGAGGCATCACACCACAAAGCAAAGCACTGCTACTATGGGTAGGATTCTATTTATACAAGAAAATATTATCCTGTATTTTACCCTGGCAAGGCCGGTAACCCACGCAATTCCCTTCGTGTTGCAGTAGTTCATGGGCGGCGGTAGTTACTTACCATCAGGTGAGCCGTATGCTCGTTTGAAGCTACCACCATTAAGAATCTTCAGCGTTACCAGAGACTGGCATGTATGGCTGCCATAGGATGCATAAGAACTACAACAACAGCAGCCTTAGAAGCTATGCTGGAGCTAATCCCGCTTCACCTACACATACAATAAGGAGCTTCTTTCGCTGCCATTAGACCCTAAATATATGGAATAAGAGTAGCGAGAGTAGTGAGACAATTTTTATTTATTTAAAAAATAAATATAAATGGTCTCCGGTTCACTCATTATACGAAACGCCTTCAGGCTGTTACCGTTACAACGTATTAAAGCAAACTGCTGAACATAGGCCTCCCCCATAGATTGCCTCATTGGGGGGATATTTTCCATAGTTAACTCGCTTGGCATGCGGGTTGGCAGCCACAGTTTTTTAGTATTTTGTATTGTTATTACGAAGGTGCTGCTGCTCATCTCCTCTTTCAGTTTCCTTCTTAAAATATATTGTTACAGATAAATTCACCAACTAAGCTAATGCGATGGACATGAAAACCCCTTTCCCTGCATAAAAACCCACAATTAAATAAAAGGAGACATGTGCCCATTAGTAGGAATACGAGTTAGGGAAGAATACCCAAACTTTTTATTATTTTTTTATTATTATTACATAATATTATGTGTAATAACAACAAGTTGTAAACTTTTTATCTTTTTGTCGTCGTTAGTAGTATGGGCACGTAATGAAAAATAAAAGCAGAAGACGACCGTCAGTCACGTGGTGGACAACCATAACCAAGAATCTGGAACGAGTACAGTTTGACATATTGACAACCGAATATAGAATATCTTGATGCATTAAATCAAGGAGAGCCGACCCCAAATAAACGGACAAGGAAGAAAAAGAAGAAGAGTAACCTTTAGTGTTGTTATTGAGCTCGTTTTTTAAGCTTATATAATTTTAATGGAATAATAAATCACGAAAAGAGTAACACGTAATTATTCGTAAGTAACAATGTAAGCGTATTTAATTTTATTATTAATTTTAATAATCCACACATAGCTAGGTATCCGAAACAACTGATTTGTTTGGGTGATGTTTAAAGTGTCAGATGAAAAATAAAAAAAATGCTTTATTATACTGGCCAGTAGTAGTGTGTTGTAAAATTAATCGTAGTGAATTAGTTTTGAGATTTTTTAAATTACTTATTATATTTTCTTTTATTCTTTCGCATATCTTCTAAAGTACACAGATACTTTAGAAAATATGCGATAATCCTTTTAACAATGCTATTTTAATATTGATTTTCCTTTATCGTTTTTAAATATAAATTATGTCCAAAATTGAATATGAATTATTTATCAGAAAATCAATTAGTATCAATAATATTAATTAGTATCATCACAGTACAATAAATAGGATCAGTAACATACTGTGTTACCGATCCTTTAAATAATCTCATCTCTGATTAAATAATTATTTAACTTGATAGTCTAATATGAACGATGGGTAGGTATTACATAACTTAAATCCGATCCTGTTTTGAGACTAAAATGCAACAAATTTATGTTATGTAGGAATAATTTAATATTTTGAAATTTTCAATAAATTTTGAAAAATGCTTACAACACCTGTTTACTGAGCTCTGCCTTACGATAATGTAAAAGAAAATATATTGGAAAATATAATAGTGAATTAAGAAAATTAATTCATAATCAAATTTAAAGAAAAAATTCAGATTTAATTTTGTAGTCTTGTAATTTTCTAAATTAAAATTATGTTGAGGAATTCTTTGGCATGATAATCTAATATGAATAATGGGTATTACATGTCTTAATTAGTAAACGGATCTTGTTTTGAGACTAATAAAAGCAATTATGTAGTAAAAATTTTACATATAAAATTTTTCAATTAATTAACGAAAATTACAACACGTGTTGTATAAGCTCTGTCTTAAGATTAATAAATAATATACATATAATGGAAAAAAAAATAAAAGTGATGTAAGGAAATTAATTCATAATTATATTTAAAGAACAAAATTCAGATTTTATTTTGTAGTCTTATAAATTTCTGACTTAAAATTATGGTGAGTCATGATGTTTTAATAATAAAGGGTCCTAATTAAAGTGTCTATCAGACAAAGGGTTAAAATTTACTCACCGCCACCAAAAAATCCTGTTCCAATATTAATTACGGGCGAACTTAATTATCCTTAGGAAAACTGTAAGCACTTATTGCACTTTACCGTATAATGTCACTTACACTTAACATTTTGAGCCATTAGGAAAGCGACGAAAGACAACACTGACATGACTATTTTCGTACGAACTTGGATCGAAGGGACCGCGCGCGTCCACCCCTCATAGCAGTTGAAACGAAACTGATGTTTAATTTTCAGTTGCACCGAGACATGGCAAAGATTTGGGTTTGTGCAGCCAAGCACAAAACTTATCGAAGCACAAACAGGATACTACTAAATTTCTTATTGATAATGTACTAGAATGGTCATATAAACATTAAATGAAACTTTGTATATTTGCCTCCAACTATTTTCGGAGACCCTCAACGCGAGAATTTTGTTTTGTTGGCGAAATCTAAGCATATGAATGAAATGATTTATAACCAAAATATTTTCATCTGATGGACTTAAAGCATATTCGGTCGGTAATTGTTTCTCAAACCGTCGTATTGGATTAAACTTAAAACATAGCACATGATACTTCGCAGCTAAAGACGAATGAATCTCGTACTTAAAAATCTGTGAAGTTCTTTAGTCTATAGAAAAGCACGTAGTAACGAAAAGAAATATAACACAAACATAGTTATACAACCTTTACAGTCTATCAAAAAGTCCACTTTTTTTATAGGATAGGGTGACAAACGAGCACACAGGCGAATCAAAATGAAGATGCGTTGTCACCCGTGAGGACTTAGATGGAATGCCTCTTGTCCAGTAAAAAGGGTCTCCGGTTCTCTACACTCAACATACGAAACACAGTAGTTTTAAGCTGCTATTTTACGTTGGTATTCTGTGAGAGCGTGGTCCTTCCCCGGTCGAGCCGACCCATTCGTGCTACAACTATACTACTAATATAGCTGCAGCATGGCTCTACCACGTGAGAAACTGTTGAATTTGTTACTTCCCATAGATTGGTTCATAGGGATCCTTATAATTGCCTCGCTTTGTAGGCTGGTTGGGAAACATAGTATTTTATGCAGCAACCATCTTTTGTTTCAATTAAATGAGTTCGGTATTAAATAATAATACAACAATTACTCGGATGACTATATAAACATAGTCTATTTTTAATTAATTTTCGTTTTTACTTTTAAGATATGTGAACATTAGATAAAATTTTTGTCACGATTTTATTTAAAATACCGTGATTCAAAACGAAATTAGGTAAAATACCAAAAACTTCTATAAAAATACTCTTTAATTTATCACAGAAAAGATATTTCTTTTTATAGCTTAACAAGATTATACAATGTTTTAAAAGTCAACGGTGTTGAATAAACTACATATATATGTATATATTAATAATATAAAAAATATTTAAAATAAAAATTAACACTAAAATTTTCAAACAGTCTTACTTTGCGCGGTATAGGCTATATTTAGAGGTCATGTTTAGAGTAGTATATTCACCATAGAATTATTAGGTATAATTCTATGATATTCAATTTTCACGTAGTTTTCAAGTACCAGCTCTCTTACCGCCAGCAGTCATGCATCGTGAATACAGTTCCTTTTGAAACTTCACTGATTGAGGATCCTACAAAAAGATAGGCTTTACTACAAATAGCACAAATATAAATTTATTCATCTCTAAGGGAATCATCTTCGTACCAATTTCTCTAAATGAGGCACACCAGAGATGAAAAGCTGCCAAAATGTTTACGCACGTAATATCTCACACACAAACATTGCTTCTCTCCTATGGGATCAAAGCTATACCGTCGGATACTATTGTCCCTAAGTATTCTACAAGGTTCTAAAACCGACGGAACATTTATAGAGGCAAGAGCATTTTGAATAAATTCGTTCCGATAATACTTATGGTTGACGGGACAACCTATAAACACTTTTCTTACATTAAAGTCCGTGGAACCCATATTCGTCAACGCCGTTACCACAAGGACACTATTTAGGTTTACAGATCGCCGCTTCGAGTATGATTAACTACATAGTTGAAACATTAAGAAAGTGGATCTTAGCTTGGTCATTATGGAAACATTAAAAAAAACACTCAGTACACGGAATGTCCCACTGTTTCTGTTGATTAGCTTTTAGGATCTTCTTACTGGGACAGGGCTTACATTCTTGCCAGAGAATCTTTTATTTATTTTCGTTTTGTTTTTGCTCTCCATTTGTAAACATATATAAATGTTTGACCACAATCACTTCTAAAATCACTTTAATAAAAATAAATAGGAGGGATGATTAAATAAATAATTCGAAATAAGAAAAAGAAAAATGTAACGCACCATGAACGCACCATATTAAATATAACAGACATTGTAGAGATGATCCGACAAAGGGATTTTGTTTCTGTAATGTGAGGTACAATTTATTAATTTGTTTTAATATTGCCATTTCACTTTTATAAAATAAGGGTATAAAACGAGCATACAGTCCATTTTATAGTAAGGGGACTAAAATGGAATGCCTCGTTTCCAGTAAAAAGGATTTCTGGTTCTCTACACTCACCATACGAAACACATGGGAATTCGTACTACAAGCATAATATAACTGTAGTGTAGTTCTATAACTTATAATTAACACCACGTAACAAAAAAAAACATTTTTTTCAGTAAAGTCATATACTTGGGTAGGGTTTCCCACTAATTTTACAAATTTTATCGTGTTTAATACAAATCTGTTTGAAAATCCCCATTTTTCGAGTGCCTTATAGCTCTCGTGATCACGAGGGGGACTGAAGCGTTCAACATTATGATGTCATAGATAACCCGGGGCTACTCTCAGCTTTAATTTTTAATCATTGGTTCAACCAAAGCAGAATGAACTAAAAATTTCATTAAGTCTTGCAGTGAAGTGTTTGGGTTCGGATTTAATTTCATTAATGTCATATATGACCATGTCATTTCATAGTCCTTAATATGCATTCAAGATAACGCCCGTTGATAAACACACTCCGTGTTGTTGCAATCGCTACATTGTGCAACTGTTTTAGGGCGTTACCATACCAAACGATCGATGCCATTTATCGACGTCGATCGATTTCGATCGATTCGTGTGGTAGATTTAGCTGGTCGACAAAACGATGTTCAAACATTGATCGACAAGTAATCGATGTGGTTGTGATCATCAGTATCTTTCGAAATGTAATCAGAAGAGAACTCGTTATTGTTTGCAAGTACGCTCTTGCTCGTATTATTATTACGAAGGTGCAAACGCAGACAACTCTAAATGCGACCGTTTTTTTAAGGCCAGAGATAGCTTAAATTCATCTAGACAATATTTTAAATAGCGGTTGGTGGAGCGGGGCGGGTTCACGATTAATCAAGCAGCTCGATTGACGTCAACTATTCCATTCTGCCATTGATCGATCGGTGTGGTAGAAACTATAGGTCGCCGTCAACAAATCCATTACACCATCAATCGATGCCATCGATCGGTGTGGTAACACTTTTACAAAAAACTCCGATTGTAAAGAACTAAGAAGATTAATTTGCACATAATAGATTTAGAAATGGGTGCTAAGACATGGTGTGTAAATGTATTAAAGCCACGACTTCAGAAGCTGCTGGGTGCAAATTATTTTATTTTTTATTTTTATTCCTTTGAAGTGGGCATTAACTTTTTACTAAACGTCTAATTTTTAGACACTTGAATGGAATTAAGAATAAAACAAGCTCATAAGTCGTCTAAATTGATACATTTACTTCATCTCCTGTTTTGCCACTGTTAAGAGTGGATTTTTTTCTATAAATTTATTTGGGACCACCCCTGAACAACAAAATATTTAATAAAAAAACTTATTAAAATCGATTTAAACTCCACGAAGATATCGTGTAACATTCATAAAAGAAACATACGATTGATATTAGGACATACAAATACTTATTTACACTTTTTACTTTATTATACTTTTGCGTCGTGGTGACTACGTAAGAATTTTCTTATTTATTTTCTCCCGTGGGTGTCGTAAGAGATGACTATTTAAAATGCTAGATTTTTTAAGGCTGAAGATAGATAGTGGTATGATCACGAACGGTCAGCAGCGTGGAATGTTCGACAGGTCTATTTTTTAAGAGAATAAGGGTGACAAACAAGCACACTGTAAGGGGATGCTACATCTGACCTCGATGAAGAATCAAATGAAGGTTATTGTTGTTATAGTCCTTATTTCTCTTTAAAAGTATTTTGTTATTAGATTGTTTTTCAAATATAATGGTAACTTTCTTTTAAGACCTCTGTCGACTAAAATTGAATGTCTCGTTTCCAGTAAAAAAGTTCTCCGGTTTACTACATTCATAAAAGTTCAACACGGCAACATTAAGCTGCTATTTGACGTTGGTAGTTGGTGAAAGCATGTTCCTTTCCTGGTCGAGCCAAATTCATCCTACAACTATAATATAGCTGAAACACGGCTCTACTTCGTATAAAAGTTTGTACCGATAGTTGTTCAGAGCGGGAGTTGAACAACACAACCGGCAGCGCCGTAATCAAAGTCTTGTTACTGCATTACCGAAGCTCTTAAATTAAACGAACTAACAATATCAAGGCTCTTCAAAATTTGCCGTAAAAATATGTTTATTTCATAATAGGGCTCATTTGTAATTAAAGGCTCAAATGTTTCGCTTTATAGTAGATTTAAAGTTAACTTTTATTCCTATATGGTACCTGTAAATCATACATTCGTGTTTTAATTTATCTTTTATTGCACTAAATATTTGAACAAAAAGCCAACTTCACTCCCATATTCTGATGGGAAGACAATCCGAGAAGACATGAAAGACATCAGGCGCTGGACTAACCGTCAAGTTTTTACGTGGTAGAGTCATGCTGCAGTTATATTAATAGTACAATTGTGGCACGAATGGCTCGGCTCGACCGGGGAAGAACCACGCCCTTACAGAATACCAGCGTAAACTAGCAGCTTAATGCTGCTGTGTTTCGTATGGTGAGTGTAGAGAACCGGAGACCCTTTTTTCTGGAAAAGAGGCATTCTATCTTAGTCCTCACGGCTGACAACGCATCTGCATATTAATTCGCAAACGATTATAGATGTAGATGTCTATGAGCCACAGCAACCACTTACCATCAGGTGGACTGTGTGCTCGTTTGTCACCCTTATTATATATTAAAAAAAAAACTTCGTGACTCCAGGCTGCTACTGATAATTTCTTGATTTTGA